GCCTGCCCTCTGCCACCCGGGAGCAGGCCTAAGCCAGCAGGTTGTTATCTCCTGAGGGGTCCCAGACTGCGAGAGGGCACAGGCCGGGCTGAGGGACCCTCCTTCGCCCCCCTGAGTGCACAAATTTCTGTGCACCGGGCCTCCAGTATATATATAAAAGCCTAAGTGACCGGCCAACCAGCCAACTGGCCGGTAGCTATGACGCGCACTGACCACCAGGGGGCAGACACTCAACATAGGAGCAGAAACCCAGGCATGGAAACATGGAACAGACTGATGAATCTCAGAGGGAAGGGAGAGGGGAGGGTGGGAAGAGATTAACCAAAGATCTTATATGCATACTAGAGGCCCAGTGCACGCATTTGTGCACCGGTGGGGTCCCTCAGCCTGGTCTGCAGGGTTCGAGCCAAAACCGGCTCTCCAATATCCCTGGGGGAGAGGTCCTGGATTGTGAGAGGGCACCGGATCTCTAATATATAATAAAAAACAACCAATAAATTATGAACATGTCACCAAGGGGTTAGAAAAACACCAGTGGTCAAGTCATTGAACCAAAATATTGTATTCCAAATCCTCTGCCAAGATCTTAAAAATAGCCACTTAATTTCCCAAATGAATGACTCCCTCCCCTGATGCCCTTTACCACAGATGAGGAATGAAGCCCTCTGCAATGCCCTTTACCACAGATGAAGAATGAAGCCCTCTGCGCAATGTCCATAAAAGTCAGATTCCCCTACCTGACAAAATGTCTTCTGCTAATTCCTTTTCTCTTTCAATTTTTTCCTCTAGAGTTGAAATGCAGAATTCATAGCCAGCAAGAGCAAATTCCTGTCTGTAAAGGAAAGATCAGCATTGGCTATTCACCTTTTCACAAACTCTTTTATCCTCATTTTCCCAGCTAGGGTTTAAATTTTATCAATAAAGGAAGTGTGAAGATGGGAAGAGAAACTTTGTTTAAAGTCTCTGAGGGATGTCAATCAGCCATTTCTCAAGTCACATATTTTTTTCTAGTCATCCATTTAATGTAACTTAAGACATAAAAAGCTAGGAATGCAGCCATGGTTTTAATAACTGACATAACCAGCAGTTTTCATCATGTTGTGTGAACAGTTGAGTCACTTTTTTGCTCAAAGTAATACTAATATGAATGGAGGCAAAAGCCACCCTGTACTAGGAGTCTAATGACCTCCTACAATTTTTGGAATAACTTTATACGTCTTCCAACCTGTAGGTCTTTGATGAAAGTTTCTTTCACAAAATGGAACCCCTAGCTGTGGCACTGGGAAGCAGTTAGCCTCACTCCAGCCCTGGTGTCCTCCCAGCAGCAGACTGAGTAGAACAAGGGTCAACTGCTGGTTTCTGTAAAGAGATGCACAGAAACATGACAGAAACTCCTCCATCCAGAAGCTCAGTCCTGGCTCTAGTTTCTTACCGGAAGTGGTACTAGAAAGCTCAGCCCTTCTCCTTTAGTGCTTTGCCAGGAAGAACATAGTTCAGAAGCTTCCCCAGACCCAAACCCTGGCAGACATGGTTTGGATCCAGCCAGGACCCGGAGCAGGGGCAGCTGGCCACAAGATGCTCCTAGTCAGAGCAAAATGTCCAGAAATGACTTCCCTCCTAATGTCAGTCTCTCTAAGCCTCAGAATCTAACTGTATTTTCTGGTCTCATAGTTCTCTTAATAAAACAATACAAAAAACCACTTTTGCAGAGAGTAATTTATAAACTAACTAGAGGCCCAGTGCACAAAATTGTGAACAGGTGCAGTCCCTAGGACTGGCCAGTGATCGAAGCATGAGCATCTGGCATGGAAGGAAAGGTCCCAGATGACCTCTGGGCCTGGGCAGCACCTGGGCCCTGGGCAGCACCTGGGTCATTGGGCCTCCACTGCTGCTGCTGGTCGCTGTCTGTGAGGAAACTGGGCCCCATTCACACCCACCTTGGCCTGGCACCACCCGCTCACCTGCTCCACCATCCTACCACGGTCCCGCTCTCGTTGGGGCCTATCAGGGACAGCAGTGGCTCCACTGCCGCGCACTGCCAGCACTGCATCACTAATGCCCGCCATGTTCCACACTTCCCCCTGGTGGTCAATGCATGTCATAGCAAGTGGTTGAACTCCTTTCGAGGGGACAATTTGCATATCAGGCTTTTATTATATAGGATTATTAGTGGCTCCTACACAAGGTTTCACCTCTATAAGACCATGAATTTGTCTTACTTTCCAGTGTGACTAGCTTTGAGCTTCTTACCCTAGGAGGTCACACCCATCAACTCCTAGTCCTGTTACTCCTCCAAGGCAGACTGACCCAGCTGCAATGCTGCCCGGAACGGACCCACTTTCAAGCTCCATAAGACTGGGAGTCAAAGGCCCTCAGAAGTGCTTGCCCGTCTAGCCGTTCTTGGTGACAAGGGTCAGTAAGGACCAGTGGCAGGGCCCCTCGCCTCCATGAGCACCAGACTTGATGTTATTCCAAACCTCTAGTACCCAACTTCTGCAACAACTAAAATCTAAGGAAAAGCTTGTCTTAGGTCTTCCCAGAATATAACTCTCTAGAGCAGCGGTTCTCAACCTGGGGGTCGAACAACCCTTTCCCAGGGGTCGCCTAAGACCATCGGAAAACACATATATAATTACATATTGTTTTTGTGATTAATCACTATGCTTTAATTATGTTCAATTTGTAACAATGAAATTGGGGGTCACCACAACATGAGGAACTGCATTAAAGGGTCACGTCATTAGGAAGGTTGAGAACCACTGCTCTAGAGTTCTTTGCTTACACCCTGTTTCTTCTTTGAACTCCATCTGGAGAGAATGAAAGGCTCAGCCCTCACTCATCAGCTCCTGACACATCCAAATGGTTTTCTAAAGCCTCTTCTGTGTAGCTGGCAGACTTCCTTCTTTCTAAGGATCAAGACTCATCTAATACTTTTAAATGAGCATCGACTTCCTGTCCCACTTCCCAGAAGTCTCTCTACTCCTAGATATTTCCCCTTCCTAAAATCTAGCTACCTGACCATCTCTGGATGCTTTAAAAATACTGCCAACCAAACCAGCCACTAAGACACTCCATAGCAACTCTCTCATTTAACTTATACCTAACTTCCTGGTTGGGTAATACTTATATCAGCAAAATGGTTTCTTCAGTTTATTACCCCTAGCAGCTTTTACACTCCTTCCTTCTCTTCTAGAAAGAGCTCAACTCAAGTTGCTTCCCTTGATTAGCTTTGTCTCTGTGCAGCCAGGGCTGAGGGCTATATTCCTCACTCAGCAGGGTCACTGAAACAGCAGGGGCAACACTGGGAAAGACTGAGGATTTCAATGATGAAGAAGGGAACATTTTGAATGTGACACCCAATTTTTTGAAGACCCAGATGATCTGGGGACCCAGTAGGTACATGAAAACTATACACCATCCCAGGATCACAGTTTTCTGTCCACAGTCCTAGAGTCTGGCTACACTTACCGATTCTGAGCAGCATAGATACTGGCCAACTTTAGAGAAATTTCAATTATTGCATTGTCTTCCTATTGGGAGAAAGAAAATACATGACAAGTAAACTTCCTCATGGACTATTTCAGATCAACTTCTAGATTGACTTGGGCCTGAACGTCAGTCTTTATCCTTCTGGAGGAATTAGGCACCTGTGAATTCCTCAGCTACCATGCTTTTGCATGAGTGAAAGAGTGGCAGTTTTCATACAAGTCCGGGAAGGGGGAGGGACCTACTCCCCTCCTCCCCCCACCCCCCCAAAGCACATGTTGGAGCTGGGTGTTTCCAGGAAGCAAGACTATTTTGAAACCAGCTTCAGCTAGGGCCCAATCCTAGGCAATATTCTTACCTGTTGCATGCCCCCTCCAAGCAGGTAACTCATTGTTGCTTTAAAAAGTTTTTCTGCCTAAAAGCATAAGGAAAAGATTTTTGTTTTATTTGGGTCCACTACCTAGATGACCCTGGATTCTAAGTACTAGTCTGATGCATCATTCCTCATAAAACACAATATGCACACACATTCACATAGAGAAAGGTGTCCTTGTGATGGGAAAACAGACTAAAAATCTGGACCCCACATGCTCTGGGCACCTTTAAAACTATTCTGTGGTGAGTGAAAACTTTAGAAGTTAACTTCTAATCCCAAGCCACTGTGGCAGAGACTGCAAACTATTCCCTGCTATTCACTCTCCTCTCCACCTTTTCAGTTATAGAATCTCCTCAATTTTGCATAAGTCAACCTCCTCTGCAATTAGGTATGATCATATGATTAACGTTTTGGTCAAAAGATGCAGGCAGAAGGAATGTGAACAATTTTTAACTCATATTTTTTAAGTAAGCTGCTTGCCCTCCATCCTCTCCTCCTTCCTTCCTGCAAGCTGGAGATGAGCCAGCTGATCTATGCAGATGGAGATCTATCTAAGAAGAAACCTGGGCTTCTAGACCACTTCATGGAACAAAGGTACAAAGCCCCCTTTGGTGATTAACTACCTCCGGACTAATGCACTAGAGAGACATACACCTCCGTCTTGTTTGAATCACTCTATTTTGGGGTCTCTTTGTTACAGTGGCTTAGCCTGTACCCTTACTAACAGTGTTCCCTGAAAGCCAATCCTTCACAAATTCAAGATATTACCAAGTGATTTACTTACATTTTCAAGCTGACCCCGTATAAATGCTAAGTTGGCCATCTGAAAATAAATTATAAATTGTTTTTCAGTTTAGAACACCATGTTCTTACTTTAAAACTTTTAAGCTAATGACTCCTTTTTGCTTTCATCCACTAATTAAAAAATTGTTCAGAGGAAAAAAATATGTCACTAATCTACCAGAAGCAAAGTACAGCAATGGTATGAGAATAAATAGTTGCATATGCTTTGTGGATGTCAATCCAAATCTAAATTCACTTTTCCTCGAAAAAACAAATGTTAATGATATTTGTTTCTTTTGAGTCTGGGATCGAAACTTCTTATAAGTGACACCCCAAGAATAATAAAAATTAGAAAAAAAAAACTTAGTAAAACAAAAACCAAGAGGGTCAGGAATATAAATCAGTAGTGCTAACATCCCTTCTCTTGCATCCACCCTTCATCAGTGGCTGAGATTAGCTACATGAGTTACCAAATCATAAGTGTAAATGATGGCCTTCTTGTTATCACTTTGAATGGCAAGACGAAGTGCCTCATGCAAAATTAGCTCAGCCTCTTCTGGCTCATCTTTCATGATGCTCAACTGAAAAGAGAAAAACATGAAAATGAAATGTAAAGAAAGCAGATGGTGTGTTATCAGACAGAAGAGGATATGGCTGTACATCCCAACACATAGAAGGAAGCCATTCATTCATCAAATATTCACTGAACGCACCAGGCATTATGTCTACAATGGATGGCCATATGACCAAGTCTTGGCCAACAGATGCAGACAGCCTATTTAAAAGAAAGCTCCTTGCCCTACACCTGTACAACAAGTAAGCTTAATTACAACTCATAAGACCTATGAAAAAATAATGGAAAGAATAAGGGTGTCCTCTAAATGGGGGCCAGAGCTTTCCAAGTAAGTGATGGTTAAACTGAAGAAAGGAGGATGAGAGAGAGTCACCCAAATAAGAAACTGTGGGGGGAAATGACCCAAACAGAGTAAGGAATGAGCAAAGGCTCTGCAGGCAGAAGAGAGCAGTTCTTTAAGAACCATTCAAGAAATGAAAAGAGATATGAAAGAAAGATGGTGAACCAGAGGACTATTGTAAGTGGGTGGGCAAGGTAAGGTGGTGTCAATCTTGTAGGGTCTTGCAGGCCATGGCAAGAAATTTGAATTTAATCATAAAGGCAGTGAAAAGCCCCAGCCAGGTGGCTCGGTTGGTTGGAGTGTCGTCCTGTACGCCAAAAAGGTTGCGGGCTCAAACCCCTGTTGGGATGAGAACGGGAGGCAACTCTCTCCCTTCCTCTCTCTCTAAAATCTGTAAGAAAACATATCCTCAGGTGAGGATTTAAAAAAAAATGCAGTGGGAAGTCATTCAAAGTTTGTAGGCAAGAAGGTCACTCTGGCTGCATGGAGAATGGATTGCAGGGGCGATAGGGCGGCGCCACCATGTGGCTCGGTGACAGCAGAGGCGACAAAGGAGAGGGGCTGATTTTCTTATTTGTTGGCAACAGGAACTGTTGCTGGACCGTAAGGGTATTGGGAGGTGGTGATAAGTCGCCTCAAGTTTTCAGAATCACTGAGGTTTTCAGGCTACAGAACTGCACTGATGGTAGTGAAGAGAAGGTGGTGAAGGAAATGTGCTGGGAGGAATTTAAATTCAGGTTGGGCCGAAACCGGTTTGGCTCAGTGGATAGAGCGTCGGCCTGCAGACTGAAAGGTCCCAGGTTCGATTCCGGTCAAGGGCATGTACCTGGGTTGCGGGCACATCCCCAGTAGGAGATGTGCAGGAGGCAGCTGATCGATGTTTCTAACTCTCTATCTCTCTCCCTTCCTCTCTGTAAAAAAATCAATAAAATATATTTTAAAAAAAAAAGACCGTACCCTTTTAAAAAAATAAAAAATAATAAATAAATAAATTCAGGTTGGTTTGCGGCCAGTCCATCGGAGAGGCAGGCAGCGCCTCCCGCTGCAGAGGGCGCGTCGGTGGCGCCCTGCGGCGTGGAAATGCCACCCTGGACACTGCGGGCATCGGGCGGCAGGCGACCCAACAGAAGAGCAGGCAACCTGGGGGAAGAGGAAGTAGAAAGGAAAGCGGAGAAGGACGAGTGTAGAAGAGAGGACCGGCCCGCTCAGAGGCACCACTGAACCTCACTCCCAGGCCGTCGCATACTGCGTGAGAGAGACTCTCTGCCCGTCCGGCCACCTGGGCTGGTTCGCGGACAAAAACCACAAGACGATTCCGCTCATTCCGTCCCCGAGAACGACGCCCGGTGCCCCTGGCACCTGCACCTGCGCCGGAGACGGCGGCTCGGGAAAGCCTTGGAGACCGACAGCCTGGCCGGACTCCAGCGCCGCCTTCG